AATTTCCTTGTTTGTTTCTATGTTGGCAAGTCTTTATTGCGTTAAAACCCTAGTTTCATCGAAAAGACAATCCAGTGTTATTGCTAAACGATTTTATTCAGTTCTCCATAGAGCTCGACTTTTTTTTTTTTGAAAGACATACTATTATTTGATTCGGGGAGGTAGAGATCATGAAAACCTGGGCAGTACTTGGTCTCTATAATACCGCCCAAGTCTTTGTGATTATTGAGGGGAGAAACATGCCGAGGCTGGTCTTGCTAGCCACGCTTGTCTTCACTATGGGCTGTCCCCCCCCCCCCCCATGCCTCCCAGTTGCACAGTATGACAGAATCGTCTGAACGGGACGGAAAGATGCCGGTCAGTCCAGGAAATGATAAACATTGAACGACATGAGCTCAAGAAAGGCGAAGAAATAAAAGAAACGTGTTTATGATGTTTTCGAGTAGTTGCGGCCACGATATTCACGAGAATATTACCGAGCGGGTTGTCGAGTTCTCTGCCCGGCGAGAGTTGCACAGTTGGCTGATGTTTGACAACAGCCGGGTCTTAATGTATGACTCAGAAAACAAAAGGTAGTATCTACCCGCGAAACGAGTGCGGGCGGCCAGGTATTGGAGACTTCGTCTATGTTAAAATTGCTTTTAAAAGGGTAGGAAATTATTGGGAAGAGAAGAAAAGGGGTTAAACAAAATCAGTTACAGTGAACAGACAAAGGAAGTTGCGGCGATTAGCCTTCATCAGCACATAAAGAACAACACAGCACACATACACAGATATGCACTAACTATGAAGTGATTACTTAGGACTGTTATGTACTAAATAATAAATGATACTCATCGTTGCCACTAGCTAACAATTTCTGTCTCTTTCCTTTTCCTTATCTTCTTTCGCCCTTGAATGGGTTGAACATGTTGTGTTTTTTCCTTTCATTTTAGCGTTCACTGACTGTAAACTCCGGCGAAAGGTTATGACTGTTTGTCCACATCTGAACTTTCGTCTTGTTCCATAACTTGAACTGTGTGCACATCTGTTTCACATATAGGGTTTATTTGTATGCAGACTTTTGGATTCTAGCCTCTTACTTCGACTTGCACGGGAACTCCCCGAATTAGTCACCCTGCACGACATTGATTGCACACAATTAGGTGTCGTCTCCACAGTGAAGGTTAGCTGCCGTGGTTCTACGACACACCGTCTTTCGTCCCTTGATAAGAGTGTTGCGTATGTGACTTGTCTTTTGTTTGCGTGAAATGCTACCTATCCTTCTGTTAATTGATTAGGGATTAGTGAGGACTACCATCACAACACCATGGATACGAGTGCTCCAAGCTCCTTGGTAGCTCCAGAAAGGGTAAAACGACTGATCACATCTGTTCTCTGTTGATTAGTCAGGCATCTGGTGCCTTTGGAGAGATGTTATCTCCACCGCAGTAGCTCCAACAGAGTAAAACGACTGATCACATCCGTTCTCTGTTGATTAGTCAGGCATCTGGTGCCTTTGGAGAGATGTTATCGCCACCGCAGTAGCTCCAACAGAGTAAAACGACTGATCACATCCGTTCTCTGTTGATTAGTCAGGCGTCTGGTGCCTTTGGAGAGACATCTCCACCGCAGTAGCTCCAACAGAGTAAAACGACTGATCACATCCGTTCTCTGTTGATTAGTCAGGCATCTGGTGCCTTTGGAGAGATGTTATCGCCACCGCAGTAGCTCCAACAGAGTAAAACGACTGATCACATCCGTTCTCTGTTGATTAGTCAGGCATCTGGTGCCTTTGGAGAGACATCTCCACCGCAGTAGCTCCAACAGAGTAAAACGACTGATCACATCCGTTCTCTGTTGATTAGTCAGGCGTCTGGTGCCTTCGGAGAGATGTTATCGCCACCGCAGTAGCTCCAACAGAGTAAAACGACTGATCACATCCGTTCTCTGTTGATTAGTCAGGCGTCTGGTGCCTTTGGAGAGATGTTATCGCCACCGCAGTAGCTCCAACAGAGTAAAACGACTGATCACATCCGTTTTCTGTTGATTAGTCAGGCGTCTGGTGCCTTTGGAGAGATGTTATCGCCACCACAGTAGCTCCAACAGAGTAAAACGGCTGATCACACCCGTTCAGTTTTCTAATTCCCTGTTAATTGTTCAGGGGCTCTTCTTATTCGTCGCCTTCTTTTCTAAAAGGGGGCGACTGGTACATTTTGTTGTGGGTTACAGCTAGGCTGAGGTATGTGCATCTTTCAGCCTGGCTGATTTGATTATATAGCAAGCTCCTAATTGTTCGTCGTTTCCGACATGCTATTTAAATGGCAGTGGGTGTGTCATCCCGGAACCCACAGTGGGATGATAATGTAAACCAATACAGTAGGTCTAAGTATACATAAACATCTAACAGTTCTCATTTCTAATGTGTTCATTTCTTGTGTGGTGTGTGTTTGAAGCAATGATTAGATGTTGCAGTTACAAATTGGCGAACTGAAGGTGAACTTACACGAAGAGTCTCTGCATGTGGTTTTCGCAAATACATTGTTACGTGGTGTTTTTCTTTTTCTCTGCACCACCGCTCAGAGATCCCCCTTTTCCCCCCTCTCTCTCTCTCTCTATATATATATATATATATATATATATATATATCTTTCTCTCTATTTCCCTTTCCTGAAGTATGTCCGGCTTTCTGCTGGCCCTACTACCCTTCCTACAGTGTACACACGTTCAGCCCTGTCTCCTCCCGTGTCCCTGGCCTAACGCAAAAAAAAAAAAAAACGCCTGCATTCTTTAACCCGTGCCTATAATACCTTGCCTTGTAGAAAAGTCAAAAACCCCAAAACACTGACAGACAGCCTGGAGTCGATGCGGCTCCTGGTCGAGTCGATTTCCATCTAGGTCAGGGAATGGAGTGTAGGCGCCCTGGCTTGTTTTTCCCCCTTCCTCTCCGTTAGCGGCGCAGGGTTAAGGAATTTTGCTTGTTTGGTGAAGGAGGGAGCAGGGAAGGGGCGGCAACAACATGGCTGCTGCGCCTGGTGGTTCATTGAGAAATAAAATTACGTCTCTCTCTCTCTCTCTCTCTCTCTCTCTCTCTCTCTCTCTCTCTCTCTCGCCTGTGCAGCAGAGAGAGGGGTAACAAAAAGATCAGCGTGGGCGAAGCGACGGCGCTAGCGTACGTCATACATTGAGCACATCAAAGCGTTTATTCAGAAGTATACACATACTAGAAAAGAAGGAAGACGGAAGAGTTGGGGGGGGGGGGGGGGTGGAGAGGAAGACGCCGAAATAGAGTGGGCGGAGATAGGCGGCCAGGAGGAAGTCGGCATTCTTGCCTGGTTGTTATCGCCGTTATCAGCTTTGACTGGGGTAATTGATTGGCGGCCCGAGCCAAGATGGTTCAGAAACAGAGTCGTCCAAGTGGAGAGATATGCAGGCCGGGAGAGGGGCAGGTCGGTGGTGCGGTCACCGCAGCAGGGAAGGTAGATAAATACGTATTTGTTTGGTTAGTTGGCGGTCACCAGAGAGGAAACGCTCCAGACCAGACGGTTGGTTTGGATGACGGTAGATAAAAAGGGAAAGAATGAAGTCATTAACACATCAGAAGACACTAGGACCGTTTGCGGTAAACCGAAAACTCCGGCTGGTTCATAATGATCGCATGTCAGGTCGATATGCATAGGTGATCGTTGTTTGCCAGCTCACACGGCCACCCAAATCGCTAGTCAGGCCTGTCTTCTTATTATGAAGGATATCATATCATACCAAACCAGAGAGAAGTAGAACCAGTAAGCTTCACATTACAGCAAACGGCCAGTGAGCGTTGCGGCCAGAAAGTCTTCATCTGCACATAGATATCCAGTACCACAAACACGACTACGAATACCCAGTATCACTTACTTAAACTGTATCCCCATTTAGTGAACATTATAAATTCCACATGTGAGTTCTGGGACCCCTGGGTACAACAAGAATCATCAGTTTGAGCGCGACTTTCCTGAACCTGATGTCTGCAAACACCAATTTCCTGGCACTCTACAGATGTTGAATATTATATTTTGACCCCGTCACTTCCCTGCCAGTGTGAAGGACTAGATAAAGGTACAGGTCAACTTCATTGATTAAACACCATGCCTGTGATTTCCAAGTGTGGGATCTGGGGTCTGATTTGGGGGGGGGGGGCAGGACTGGGGGTGGGGATAGATCCACTGTCCCCGTAACAAGCATGTTGTAAAAGACTAATTCAGGAAGTGTCCTTTGAAATGCGAGTGCATCTGTCTGATAGGTGATTAACCAACAGTCTGTTGACAAATAAGCCAGATCTGTAAAACAGATACGCAAGCAAAACTCAAGATATGGAACAAGACTGAAGTCCAGAAGTGGACAACAAGCAAAACTTTCTGCCGAGTTTTTAAACCGGTGAACGCCAGAAAGAAGCAGACGCCTGTGTTTGTAATTTCTTGCGACAGGACAGAGCAGAGAATGATTGCACTCTCCCGCTTTCCTTCCTTCTTTAGAACACCATTATTACTATCATGCCCAGACAGCGAGTCTGGGAGTCAGGAAGAGAGTAGAAGTAAAGGAGAAAATTATTGTAGATAGGTTAAGAGCTGATCGCCTGAGAGGCACATTTAATACATATATATTCAATACATTTTTTTTTCTTGTGTAAACAACGATCATGACGTGCCATGGTGGTCTAAATGTGGGAGAATGTTCTTAGCATCAGCGAGTATGTCTTGCTAACCACACTGGCCTATGTGATTTCCATAGGCCCCTCTCCTGCTCCGTAGCACAATATAATACTATGTCTGCTAGAATAGAAAGGCGCCAATGAAAAATAATGTAATGAAAATGTTTTTTACTTAAAAATGTGTTTGTAATTTCTTCTCACAGAACAGGGTTCAGTGCATGATTGCACATTGTAAGTAGTGTGTCTTTCCTGTTCCTTTTTTTTTTAAAAAAAAAATTGTTATTGCGGTAATGCTTGTACTAATACCTATGTTTGTTACCTCATCTCACAGGATATGGCACAGAGTATGACTGCAGGCTGTGGTGTACTGTCGCCTACTGGGAGCTGAAGGAACGTGTGGGTCGTCTCTTCACTGTAACAGACCCCAGTGTTCACATCTTTCAGCAGTTACCTCATGGAGACGGCATGTGTCTGCGCCTCTTTCAGAAACCCACAAATGTTGAAGTTGTGAAAAGAACCAGAGAGAAGATAGGTTTTGGGATTATCTTGAGCAGAGAAGCTGCACATAAAAGAGATGCCAGCATGGTAGCAACACATGATGCAGTGGAGGACAGCGCAGGTTTATCTCCAGAGACTTCTGTGTCACCGCTGTCATCTCAGTTGTGTTTGTCGTCCTCGCCATTTCTCTCACCTCCCCAGGAAGAGCGGGGAGATGCAGAGTGTGGTCTGAAAAGTCATTCAGTTTTTTCATCTACCTCAAATTGTCAGATGCCAGCGTTGCCTAGCGGGGTGCACGGGACAGATGTGGATTTAGTTCGGGGTGTAGTCAGTGATATTATCGCTGATTGTGATGAGAAAGATGTCAGCGGCCACCATTATGGTGACAGTACTGAACAGCCATCTTGCCATCAGCATGGACATCAACAGCACGGCACTTATGATTCTATGCATGATAGTTATTTATATACTGAAAGCATGGATTACACACAGGATTTAGGCACCTCCCCTCCCTATTTTCAACAGTCAAATCATCTAGGCATTCATCCGCAGTCCAGGTCGCCTTCCTGTCTGTCTTCATCTTCATTTTCATCATCACCCCCGTCATCCCCACCCTTATATTTTAGCAGTGATACCTCTTTCTATGATTTGCATTATTCAAGTGTGAACTATGGGGGTTCGGTTGACACCAGCGACACTACACATATAAACAACAACAAAGCCAACAACAACAATAACCATCACCACCATCACAGCAACATCAGTGGTTGTATAAAGCGGTTCAACACCGGGTCGTCCACAGATAACAGCAAATCTGGGAGAAACTTGACCTCGCCCATCCTCGCTCCTTCGACAGTAACTCAAACCACCAATGTTACATCGTCCACAGTTCAGTCTTCAGGTCTGCCTGCCAACCAGGGTGAAGTGTGGGCATACAATGCCTCTGACTTCCCCATATTCGTCAACTCTCCAACTCTGGACGACCCCCAGTTTCCCCGATCTCTGGTGGTGAAAAAGGTACCCCCTGGGTATTCCATTAAAGTCTACGACTATGCCAGAGCAGAGCTTCTGGAGCGGACAGATGCCCGCAGCGTTTTACTCAAGGATGGTCCCTTTGACCCCTGCTGTGTGCGGATCAGCCTGGCTAAGGGCTGGGGCCCCAGTTACTCAAGACAATTCATTACTTCTTGCCCTTGTTGGCTGGAGGTGTTGCTCGGAGCCCGGAAACACAGCTCAGCATCTTGATATATAATCACATTTTCACTTGTGTATGGATGTGTGTTGGGAACAGAATTAGTTTGTGGTTTAGTGGAGGGAAAAAATGGAGGGGGGGGGGGGGGGGGTGGCATTGGGATATCAAAATATTGGCTCTTCATATTTCTGAATCTGTAATTGACTATAAAACAAATTTGCAGCCTCAAAACAAGAAGCGCTGCCAAGTGGCAGTTGTGTCAGTAAAGTCTGTTGTTGGGGCAGTACAGTACTGTTGAGGTTTTTTTTTAAATAGATTTGTTGTTGGGGCAGTACAGTACTGTTGAGGTTTTTTTATTATAGCAGATTTGTTGTTGGCGCAGTACATTACTGTTGAGGTTTTTTTTAATAGCAGATCTGTTGTTGGGGCAATACAGTACTGTTGAGGTTTTTTCTATAGCAGATCTGTTGTTGGGGAAGTACAGTACTGTTGAGGTTTTTTTTATAGCAGATCTGTTGTTGGGGAAGTACAGTACTGTTGAGGTTTTTTTTATAGCAGATGAGTCTATAGATCATAAACAAACACACAAACATTGATTTTTATATATATAGATATGTTGTTGGGGCAGTACAGTACAGTTGAGGTTTTTTTTTATAGCAGGTCTGTTGTTGGGGCAGTACATTACTGTTGAGGTTTTTAAAGCAGGTCTGTTGTTGGGGCAGTACATTACTGTTGAGGTTTTTATAGCAGGTCTGTTGTTGGGGCAGTACATTACTGTTGAGGTTTTTATAGCAGGTCTGTTGTTGGCGCAGTACAGTACTGTTGAGGTTTTTAAAGCAGGTCTGTTGTTGGCGCAGTACAGTACTGTTGAGGTTTTTATAGCAGGTCTGTTTTTGGGGCAGTACAGTACTGTTGAGGTTTTTATAGCAGGTCTGTTTTTGGGGCAGTACAGTACTGTTGAGGTTTTTATAGTAGATCTGTTGATGACAGTTATTATAACAGTTCTGTTGATTACAGTTGTAGTGACAGTTTGTATCTGACCTATTGTGACAGTTGTATTAGTTCTGCTGGTGGCAGTGTTGTCAGTTCTGTTAACGGTTATAATACCATTAATGATATTGTTTTGGCAGTTGTGTCAGGTCTGTTTATGGCAGTTGTGTCAGGTATGTTTATGGCAGTTGTGTCAAGGTCTGTTTATGGCAGTTGTGTCAAGGTCAGATTATGGCATTTGTGTCAAGGTCTGATTATGGCAGTTGTGTCAAGGTCTGTTTATGGCAGTTGTGTCATGTATGTTTATGGCAGTTGTGTCAAGGTCTGTTTATGGCAGTTGTGTCAAGGTCTGATTATGGCATTTGTGTCAAGGTCTGATTATGGCAGTTGTGTCAAGGTCTGTTTATGGCAGTTGTGTCAAGGTCTGTTTATGGCAGTTGTGTCAAGGTCTGTTTATGGCAGTTGAGTCAGGTCTGTTTATGGCAGTTGAGTCAGGTCTGTTTATGGCAGTTGTGTCAAGGTCTGTTTATGGCAGTTGTGTCAAGGTCTGTTTATGGCATTTGTGTCAAGGTCTGATTATGGCAGTTGAGTCAGGTCTGTTTATGGCAGTTGTGTCAGGTCTGTTTATGGCAGTTGTGTCAGGTCTGTTTCTGAGAGTTCCTGTGGAAGAATTAGGGTAAAAGCTGTCATGTCCATTTTAAATAGGAGCATAACCTCATCAATTGTTTAATTTAAAAAAAAAATATAAAAAAAATCCCAGTGTGCGTTTAACTGGCCCCTTTTAGCCAAAAGATTTCCAGACCGTTAGATGGGATATGGACCATCGTTGGGAAAGACTGATTTTGACAGTGCTTGGCATGAGTTGATTGAAGTTCTGAGCTCCTTTGTGAGATTTAGAAGAAGGAACTGAACTATTTAGTTGTTACATGTCTGCCAGAGTAACGTGTTTCTGTATGTATTTGAGTGTGTGACTGAATTATTTATTGACTTACTGCTGCTATTTTTCTTGACAGTTTTGTTTTTGTGGTCACTGCCATTGGGCAACTGTTATACATATTACAAATTGTAAAGTACTGCCTGTTTGGCACACATAGAGGCATAAGTAGGCTCATAAGGATATTTTTTTTTTTAATGGAAGGACTGACTAATTTGGACTACGGCTTTGCATTTGCATTTTATAAACTTGTCGAGTTGCCTGGGTGGGTTGGCATCATTAGTATACAATATTTTTTTCTGTAAATGTTTAGCAGAGTAAAACCTTGGTAACATAAATTTCACGGGACAAAAAATGCTAGTTTGTGTCCTGAACAAATTTGTTTTAAATGGGGCTGATAATTATACATCCCTGCTTTGCTCATATTAACAGTGTTCTTAAACAAGTTTGTGTTAATGAGGTTTTACTGCATTTACTAACTTAGCGTCATTTCTTGAATAACCTTTCCCTGCTTTGATTGAAAATGCCTAATGTATTCTTTTTTTAAATCTTCTGTGTTTATCCCTAAAAGGATGGTTGGCAGATTATGTTGTGGTTTGCAGCTAGGCTATGATATCTGCACCTTTCAACCTTCGCCTTCTACAGCATGCCCCCCCCCCCCCCTTTCCCCCAAGAAATGGGGAGTTTGGAATATATTCTTTTCCCCTTACCCACTCTTCTTTGATGTGTTGTATTTAACGCATTCTCATTTCTTCTTTACCTGCAATCGCAGTTAAAGTTGAGGTTTACAGCTAGGCTACAGTATATGTGCCTTTTAGCTCACCACATCCGATTTAAGCACACCCTTAATGCATCGCTTTTTTTTTTGTGGCTAGCATGTTTAAGGGGCAGTAAGTCTACCACCACCATCTCCACCCCTCCTCCTCTGCCCCCCCCCCCCCCCCCCAAGAAAATGGGGCCCTGAGACCCATATAAACATTCTTATTTGACATCACGTCTTCTTGAATAGCCTGTCCAAAAGTGCTGTCTCCATCTACAGTGGGAATATTATGTTTTGGTAAGGCTCCATCTCTTCCACGATTTTACTCTGGTAACACGGCCCCAAAGCCACAAAAACAGTCTTCTTTTTAAACCTAGGCACCCTTATGGGGAATTCACGTCTCCAGCCTATACGGTAGCCTGGAGGACTTGGCAGCGACAGAATACTGTACACATGTATAATATCAGCGGTGGGTCAAGACAGTCAGGTATATTGTGCACAAAAAGGGTGGTGTAGTGCAGGAGGGTCAATTTTACTTGGAGGATTTAAGGCTGCATGGCTCAAGCAGTTGTAACAAATTATGCAGCTTAGGACACACCGCCCCCCCCCCTCCTTTTTTTTTCTCCCTACCACTCCTAAAGTCCTATCATCATATAAAGGTTTTGAACCCAGATTTCTGACAGAGCTCAGCTTTCTGCCAACTTAGCCATATGCTCCTCCTCTGCTGTGTTTATACCATATTGCAGTTTTTGTTTTGTTTCTGTCAGCCACATGAACTCTTTATCAAATCAGCCAAGCTGTCCTTCCTTTGCCACCTCATTCAGCACACCCTGTGTCCTCCCCATGTCGCTCTTTTTTAAATTGTCATTGTGCAGTCGGGATGAGAATGTGTGTCGTGGGATTTGTTTTCTGCGTTCGCCCTTGAAAAGAGCAGTTGTCGCATTATATTGTGGTTCACAGCTAGGCTGTGATGTCTGCACCTATGATCTCAACACATCTGATTTCAGCAAATCCTTTTTAATTAGTTGCATGTTGCAACACGCCTTATTTCTCTTTTAGAACACATCATATACTGATTTATAACTAATCTAACTGTCTTCTGCTACTCAAACAGTTAGGAAGCAGTCCGCACTCCCCCCTCCCTCCCCACTTTCCAAAAGAAGTTCTAGAGAATGATATGCAGCAAATGTCATTTGTGTTGGTATTACCCTGTTGTGATGTTTAGTTGCATTTATATGAATCATTTAGTATTATGCATTTGGTTGTGCCAGCACAGGTTTTTTAAAAAAAAATGTCTGTATGCTACTACCAGTGTTATATGGTTTACTGTATGTGCTTTCCATTTTGTTTTAAAACCATTTTTTGTGTTCACCGTTTTATTTGAAATATTTAGATATGCTCTTAAGCTCAGGGCTTTTCAAACTGCCACTTGCAGGTGGCATCATTTATAAAGTTTGGTTCACTCTTAGTAAACTTGAAAGGTAATATTTTTATATGTAAATTTGTTTGTATTTAGTAGACAGATCATGCTAACTGCATATGGACCCGCTCGATCTGTAAGTGCTCATATCCCCTTCTCAGTCTATTCTTTGGCGTGCTGTGACTTACGAGACCAGTTCTGTGTTTGTTCACTAAGGTGCGTTGGCCCCTTGATTTAGCACTTACGCCTGGGGATGTAAAATATACAGTACTGCAAACTGAAAAAGTAAATTTTTCATGTTCTGTGGGAAGTATAGGAATTGTATACGTTGAATTTAGAATGTCTGTTAGTACAGTGGAGATAATATAAACTGTACAAACTTTACCCTGTTGCCCCTTGAAGCCACAAAACCGACACTTCTGGTTAGCTCCAGTTCCCAGAGAGTGGCTTTTCTGACTTGGCTCTAGTAGCCCATTCACAAAATGACCTAGCTCGAAGCACTGTTATTGCTTGCACCCGCACACACATTTAGAAGGACTAGGAATGACTACATTTACTAAAAATAGCATTGAAAAGGATTTTCTTGTGGAAAAATGGCTTTAGTAATACAAATTATAATGTCTTTGTCCCATTTGTCTCTGTTAACCTGCGACGGGTTCATAGGGTTGAGGAAAAAAGTCATGATAAAACATTTATTTTTAGACTTGCAGAGATGTGACACAGTGATTTCTCTGCTTTCTTCATGTTTAATAATGTCTCCCTGTATTCTGAATGCAATTTAATATTTTTTTTTTTTAGGCAATGAACAGAATTATGGTTTGAATAATAACAAAATTGCTATTTTTTATTTTTTATAGATTGGTGGGGGTGGGGTCCGCAAATTACAAGTCATCAGCATTGATTTTGCTAGGTCACCTGGGCGACAGGGTAAACTAAGGATGCATCTGTT